GCCTATACCTCCTGCCTAGCTAGGATTACAAGGGTACACCACCACACCTGGCCCCCTCATTTCCTTTTCTCTGTGTCACTTTCCTTTTTCTGTCTATAAATGTTACCCAGCCATGTGGCAGTACCAGTCTTTCTAAACCAGTCTGGGTCTGGGGGCTGCCCAACTTGTAAATTGTTCTTTGCTCTGTTAACTTTGTTTAGGTCAGGTGTGATAGCACATGCCTGTAATCCCAGCACTTGGAGGTGGACAAGGATCACTAGTTTGAAGCCAGTTGGGCTACACAGTGAGACCCTTGTCAAAAAAAAAAAAAAAAAGAAAGAAAAAGGAGGTGGCAGTGATGGGAACTGCTGTTTTAGGGTGGTGAGAGGGACATTCAAGCAGATACCTGGGACTGAACTGTGACGATATTGGATGGTGGGGGGAGAGGAGGGTTGCTTTAGGTGGAGTGCAGCAAGGAGAAAGGTATTGATGTGGGAACATGTTTGACAGATTTGAAAGCAACACAGAGGCTACCACATGCACCAGAATGAGGGGAGGAGAGACTTTAAGGATGTTCAGGCAGATGGCACAAGGGGCTGATCCTGCAGGGCTGCCCGGCAAGGACATGGCTTCTGTTGTAAGGTGGGGACCTCCTGAGGATGACACGATCTTACAACCATGAGGAAGGCATGAGCCACAGTGGGCCCCATGGTGAGGACAGCTATGGAGGGGAAAAAGGCCTGTCACTGGAACTCTCCCACAGACAGACCTGTGGGCACTTGCAGATGGGGTATGATTTCATGAAATGATGAGAGAAGGCAGGCAGTTACTGGCTTTGGGGGTGAGGATGAGAGATTGGGAATGGAGTGGCTCCTCGCATCATTTTCAAGGTACCGGATACATATCCAGGGGACGAGAGGTCTACTGGAGTTGTCTTAAATGACACAGGACAGATGAGGTGGTAAGGGAACACACGCCAAGAAAGAAACCAAGAGATGCCTGAGTGTGACAGCTGGGTCAGCAGGAGACCGAGATGGGCAGTAGGAGTGTGGGTTTGAAGGACTGACACTGTCCCTGGAGTCAGCAACAGCTACGTTGGGTGAATTTGGCATGGGGGCATGAACGCCTACTTGAAGGGCTGATTCAAGAGAGGACTGGAGACAGGTGGAGATGCTGGAATGGACTTTTCTTCAGTGGCTGCAAGCAAGGTGGGGCTAAGGGATAGCTGTGTCATACCTGCTGTCAATGTGGTGACCAAGGCAGGGCAGATTTCTGAAAAGCAAGCAAGGTTTTGCACACCGCTCCTCCCAGAGGCCTCTAATAATGGGAGTTTCCTTTGTCTACAAAATCAGCACTACAGTCCATTCCTTTTCCACCTCCTAAAAACTACTTTTTAGGGTGCTGTCATTCTGTTTTCCATAAAGGCTGTACCATTTTACATTCCCACTAACACTGCACAAGGGCTCTGATTTCTCCACATCCTTGTCAGCATGGTATTTTTTCTTTTTGGCAGTACTGGGGTTTGAACTCAGGGCCTATCCCCTTGTGGGCAGGCACTCTTTATCACTTGAGCCATGCAACCAACCCTTTTTGCTCTGTTTTCCCAACAAGTGTTTCATTTTTACAAAAGCTAATCTGGGCTACAACCACTCTTTTTTACGCTTCCCACACACTTGGGATGACAGGCACACCACCACACCCAGCTCTTTTACTGGTTTAGATGGGACTTGCTAACTTTTTTGCCCAGGCTGGCCTTGAACCTCCCAATCTTTGCCTCCCAAGTAGCTAGGAGTACAGGCATGAGCCACCAGACCCCACCAGTTTTTGATTTTGATAGTCATCTTTTAATGGTTTCACTCAAAGTAGGTGATTAGGATAGTCACTACTGAAGCCACAAAATAGGAAATGTCTTGAAAATTATTATCTATTGGAAAACAACAAACATTAAAAGGAATTTAACGGGAGAATCTGGATACCCAGGTAACCACCACATCTACCTAGGATAGAGGGCAAAGAATTGTTACCAGCCCATTCTAGGGTTACCAAAGTTGTGGAGGCAGCCCCAAACACAGGAAAAATACCTTGCTCTCCCACCGGTGCCTCCCATTGGCCAAACCTACCTGATAACCAAGTGGCCAGGAAGTATGGAAACAGCCTGTGGAGGTCAACTAGGCTCCCCACCCCCAACACAGAACCAGCAGGGAAGAAATGATCTTTGGTAGCAAATAAGCCAAAGATCTGCACAATTGGAAGCCCTGTAGCTTACCTGTACTGCACTGTACATTACACAGCATCACAACCAAGTTCACCATTTATAAAGTCTAGAAAACTAGACTGGGTTTTTCAAACAATGGTTTTTGGCACTTACAATGCCTTTGGGCAAATTTACTGCCATGTCTAGCAGTTCTGTAGCAAACTTGTCAGGTTCAAAGGAGATGATGATGAAAGAGACCCCATCCTCAAGTGGTGGCTGGCACAGCTATAAACAGTGTTACAACTTGGAAAAGCACACAGAAAAAGTGGACCTAAGTTGAAAAGTAGCAGCAGGAGAAAGCAGCCCTGGGAGACTGCAGTGCATCTGTGGGGACCTGTCCTCAGAGAGGGTCTTTCAACTCATTGCCTGTGGTTTCTGTGGCTCTTGAATGCATTGGAGAAAATCATTTCAAGACGATTCGCAAGGTCAAAGGCTGGGGAAGACTTTATTAGGTAAGACAAAGCAGTGAGGAGTAGCCAAGAGGGAAGCACTTGGCACACAGGAGTAGAAACTCGGTTAGTGGTTCTTCCACAGGGGCTATTCATATTAGCTAAAGTAGGTTAGCAAGTGTAGCCTAAACTTTCCTCCAGATAAGTGGTTTCTTTGAATTAAGCACCTGGTAACTTTTTGATCGTTTTGCTGTTGTCATGTTTTGACATTACTGACCAAGCATGAAGGGTTTGGGATGATCTTGCAAAAAGATCTTTTGGCACAGGTGCCTATTTCTTGTAATTTTCATAAACGTTCTTCTGATCAAAAAGAATTGCTGTTCCAAGTTTTTTTTTTCTGCAGTACTGGGGTTTGAACTCACAGCCTACACCTTGAGCTACTCCACCAGTCCTTTTTTGTGATTTTTTTTTTTCGAGATAAGATCTCTAGAACTATTTGCTGGGACTGGCTTCAAACTGCAATCCTCCTGCTTTCTGTCTCCTGTGTAGCTAGGATTACAGGTGTGAGCCACCTGCACCTGGCTTTTTTTTTTTTTGGTTGAACTGGGTTGAACTCAGGGCTTCACAGTTAAAAAGCAGGAGTTCTCTACCATTTGAGCCACACCTCCAGTTCACTTTGCTCCAGTTGTTTTGGAGATGGGTGTGGGGCGGGTTGTCTCAAGAACTATTTGCCCTAGCTGGCTTCAAACTTCAACCCTCTCAATCTCAGCCTCCTAGGATTTCAGGCGTGAGCCACCAGCACCTGGCTGTCCCCAAGCATCCTTAAATCCTGGGGTGCACTACTCCTCTGGGGTCAGGGCAGAAAAATAAGATTTTTGTCTCTACTTTATATCGTAACTTATAGGAAGGGATGTACTGGAAAAAAAATTTTGTGTGTGTGGTTCTGGGGTTTGAACTCAGAAGCCCCATGCTTGCTAAGCAGGGCTCTACTGCTTGAGCCACACCCCCAGCCCTTATTTTCCAGATAGGGTCTCATATTTTTTGCTCTGGCCAGCATGGACTGGAATCTTTCCACTTAAGCTTTTTTTTTTTTTGGCAGTACGGGATTCGAACTCAGGGCCTCATGCTTATTAGGTAAGCACTCTACCAGCCATTCCACCAGCTTTTTTTGTTGAGATGGGGCTTCACTTTTTCACTGTTTGCCCAGACGTCCTTGAACCATGATTCTCCTGATTGCCACCTTCCCAGCAGCTGGAATTAGTCATGAGCCACTGAACCCAGCACTTGAGTGCTTTCCTAATACTTACTACGATGTTTAATTTTGCAATCCTAGCTTCTGATTTGTGGCTTGCAAAAATTCCATGCCACCTGTCCCTCCTCTAGCTTACCTCAGAACCAGTGCCTCCAAGAAGCTGTGAGAAAAATAAGGCATACAGAAGCCTCAGAACAGATCTGGGATGGATGGGAATATGTTGTCAGTGACATGTATCTGGAGCATGGAGAGGCCAATCAAAAACATAACAAGGGCAGCACCACATCTAGACACAAAGGAGTCAAGAAATGGAGGCCAGATCCGGGCATGGTGGTGTGCGTCTATAATCCCAGCCTCTTGATAGGTAGAGACAGAAGGATCTAGAGTTTGGGGCCAAAACAGGTAAAGGTACTGAGGCCTGCCTGTCTTTAAAAAGGGGTAGGGGATGGGGCTGGGGTGTGTAGCTCAAGTAGTAGACCACTTGCCTAGCATGCTAGAGGCCCTGGGTTCATTCCCCAGTACTGGGAAGGAAAGGTTGGGGGTGAGGAAGGGGAGAGGGCAGGGAGGGTGAGGAGACCAGAAGAAAGCAGGTTGATCGGGATGTCCTTCCCAAGGACATCACTTAAACGTAGCATGTCTAAAGGTTTATATAAATTAATTTTTGAGATAGCTGTAGATATGCATGCACTTCTAAGAAACAAATGTTGTGTGCCCTTTACCCAGACTCCTCCCTCTCCAGAAAGAGTATCACGACCATCGAAGACTGACAGTCAAGGAACAGAGGAATCCAACATCGGGGAACCCTGTTGTGCTCTTTTACAGCCAGTCACGACCTTCCTCAACTAACTTTTAATGCTGACAGGAATTACCCAGGGTCTAAATCCAGCACAAATAACTGGGTCAGGTGCTGGAAAGACGACTGCAGCAACGCACAGCTACAGCCTTGAAATCCCGCAGTGCTGCCTGCGGACGGCTGCGGACAGACCGCCCGGCATTTCCGTGCACATTAAAGGCCCCGCCCCTTCCTCCGCGATCGGCCAACTGCCGGCCGAGGACCGAGCCCCTTCCGCCCGCGAATGAAAAAACCGGAAGCGGGCGCCACTGCACCGCCTCCACTCTGCCCAAGATGGCGGACCTTCACCGCCAGCTGCAGGACTACCTGGCGCAGGCGAAAGCGGGAAAGCAGGCTGACGCGGAGCCGCTGCTCGCCGCAGGGACGGCAGAAGAGCCAGCTGCCGGGGACGGCCCGGTGGGAGCATGGCTGGGCCGCTCAAGCCTGCGATGGACGTGGGCGCGGAGTTCCGCAGAGCCGCCGGATGCCGGCCCGGCGTGCCTGCCGACCGTGACGCGCGGGCAGCGGTTGGCGGCAGGCGGCGGGTGTCTCCTGCTGGCCGCGCTCTGCTTCGGCCTGGCAGCACTCTACGCGCCCGTGCTGCTGCTGCGTGCGCGCAAGTTCGCGCTGCTCTGGTCGCTGGGATCGGTTCTGGCGCTGGCGGGCGGCGCGCTGCTGCGGGGCGGCGCGGCGTGCGGACGGCTGCTGCGCGGGGAGGAGGCGCCCTCGCGGCCCGCGCTGCTGTATGCCGCTGCGCTGGGCGCCACGCTGTACGCGGCGCTGGGCCTGCGCAGCACGTTGCTCACGGCGCTGGGCGCCTGCGCGCAGGTGGCCGCGCTGCTCTACGCGCTGCTGGGCCTGTTGCCCTGGGGCGGCGGCGCCGCGCTGCGCCTCGCCCTCGGCCGCCTGGGCCGCGGCGCCGGCCTGGCCAACGCGCTGCCGGTGTGAAGCCCGGGACCCCGCCCGGCTGGACTGAAGCGGACGAACCCCACGACGATGGCCGGCGCGCCTAGGCTGACGAAGCCGGTAGGATCGGACGTCCCGGATCCCAGCCCTTCCGTGGCCCGCCTCCGAGGAGACCAGGTGTTGCCGTGCAGTTGGTGACGGCGTGCTGCGGAGCCGCGGTCAGAAGTTGCTTCTGCACTATCTGCACTAAGGCGTTTTGAGCAGAGTAAAATGGCTCTTTGAATTGGCTGCTTTTGTGGCTTTTCTCAGGCTTATCTTTATATCTTTTGTCACTTGACAAATTGAGTGGAATATGTAGTTGATGGTTTTTTTGGGTTTTTGGCGATGCTTGAGCCTAGGAAATTATTTTTCCCAATTGTGGATCCAGAAGAGTATCAGATTAAAGTTTTCTAGCTACTGGATCTTAAAAGGTGATCAGTTAATATGGTTTACCTTTTAAAGATTAAATTGTAAATGAATGTGGTGCCTTACAACATTAAAGGAGTCGGAATTAGCCAAGGAAAGCAGCGGACCAGTAGAGAAGCCTGCCACCCTCCACGTGAGAGCTGCAGAACAGCCGGGGCGTCCCTGCAGACAACCCTCACTTATCATTCCTAATTTTACTATTTGCTTTTTAAAGCAGTTTGCAATTTGCACGATGATCCTAATGCAGTATGAAGTGCTCGTCATATACAATTGCTATTTATCCTTCATTCTAGACTCGGCTTGTTTTATTTAGGCGGTGAGAATCTTCACTTTCTTTTGCAAAACCTGCCTTAATTTACTGCCAGTATAGGTCCAGTATTCTGATGAGTACAGAAAAACTACACATTTTGTCAGTAGCTATGAACTACAAAGTAAAATTATAGTCATAAGTTAACAATCCCTGCCAATGGTTCTCACACTTGAGTGGGACGTCAGAAATACATTTCCTGTAGAAGCTTGGGTGGGACCAGGCCTCCGTAGTTTTTGTTTTTTAAACACCACAGATGATTCCATTTTCAACCAAGGTTGAGAACCAGTTTTTGGTGCATTGGCTTGTACAATTTGAAGCTAATTGTTTTCTGGGAGAATTTCCAATGTTGTCATGACAGGGTGTGCCAAATAGCCATGGAGCACTTTTTCTTCCTCCAGCCCCAAAATATATGTTCTTAGGCTCCTAAACCCCACTCCAAGATGTGACACTAAAGTGGCCACATCCACACCGCAGGCTACCCCACCCTCAGTAGTACTGGCTAAGAATACTGCCTTGTGTCTACCTCAGAATACCATGTATTTTCAAGGAGTGCTTTATTTTGTCTAATGGGAAAAACCTGTGCCATTGGCCACTGTTTCTCATTTCCTCGTTAAATTTCTATTCTAAATTTCTCTAGGAGTTACATGGCTGAAGATTTTGCAGTGTTTTAACATTTGTTATGTTTGATGCTGTTATATTGTCATTTTTTTAAATTTCACATTTTTCTCAAAGATTGAAAATCTAGGTTTTGTAAAATTCAAAGCACATCTTGTATGTAGTTTGTGCTTTTTCAAATGCCATGTAATATTCTAAGTAATGTATAATGTAGCAACTTCTGTTTTCTCTAGGTGAATTCAATTCTCAAAAATGTGATTTAGTTACCTTCTCTCCAGAGTACTTTGTTTTTAAAGTCTAATAGGTTAATAAAATTCTTCCCACATAAGGAGCCTGGTCTCTGTAGAGTCTCTGGACCTCTTGTTAACATCTTGGATTATAATTTTTGCCTTCTATGCTATCCAGGTGGAGGGCAAGTAAAAAATCCAGAAACCTAAAGCAGTCTTGAACCTCCGAGCAGTGCAGTGTGGCAGGGCGCTGATAAACAGCATGCTGTGTTTGTTTGCAACACTGGGGTTTGAACTCAGAACCCCACACCTCTTAGGCAGATTCTCTGCACTCTGAGCCACTCCAGCCCATGTTTTTAATTCTAAAGGAAAATGAAAATTGTTTACCTGGAATTTTTAGGTTCTAAGACCTCTAATGGTCAACATTTTCACCCTCCACAGAAACATTAATAGAGTGGAGAGATTTCTGTATGCTATCCAACTGTGTCAGTGTCCTTTCTTTCCTAAGCAACCATTGAGACTTCTTCCAGCACCATGAAACTTGCCAAGTAAACCTGTCTCCAATTCCAAGCGGAAGCTGGCAGTGTAATGAAATGTTAGTGCAGCCAGACTGCTGTTTTAGTAATAAAAGCTTTCCTACAAAAACAGAAAGGGTCAGCATAGAAAGTGGCATCTCAAACTGAATTTTGGCTTTCAGTCCAAACTGAACCAAATGTTAAATTTATTTAAAACAACTTGTCATGGACAAGAACTTTCTGGCTTAATATAATTTAGAATTATATTGTTTCTTAGCTTGTATTTCTACAAAGCTACTATGGAAAAGAGGATAAAATTAGGAGATACTTTGCTCCATTTCTTTTCAATTTAGTGTGTGAAATGATTGTCGGTAAGTTATGTATAATTCCTTTCCTCATCAAATGAGACAAATCAGCCGGGTGCTGGTGGCTCACACCTGTAATCCTAGTTACCCAGGAGGCAGAGATTAGGAGGATTGCGACTCAAAGCCAGCCTGGGCAAACAGTTCACGAGACCCTATCTTGAAAAAACCCTTCACAAAAAAAAGACTGCTGGAGTGGCCCAAGGTGTAGGCCCCAAGTTCAAGCCCCAGTACCTCAGGAACAACAAAGAAAAGGCAAATCAGATTTAAAGAGGGAGTACTCTTTAAATCTCTTAAAAAGAGATCCACCAAAGAGAAAGCCCCTACGTGGATACCAGAAGATTGATGTTTTTCTTCAGAGTTTGATTTTCCATCTGCCTGAGCAAGCCTGAGGCTTTGAGCTACTTTCATGTACATTAGTTATAAAGTACTCCTCACCCTGTAGTGTGACAGAGTAGACAGATAAGAATGTTGAAAAACACAAAGTTCATAAATGAACCACTTAGATAACTTAGCAGTCCCCATCAAGTCTGTCCATGAGCACCAACACCCCTCAGCAGGTCAGATGTGACAGTGGAACAAGGGTTTCCTTAAGGCAAGCACTTCAAACAGTTGTTTTCTGTTAATTCTTGCGTAAATCACATTCTGTATTCATACAAAAACAACTTACTGGGTTTTTCTCTGACAAACTGTACATATAGAAACAAGTTTCCAATTGGACATGAACTTAAATGTGTGGAGGTGTGCCATGTCTTGTGACATTAAAAAAATTCCAGCTTTTATCTTCACAAAACAACATGGGAATCGGGCAATGAGGGTGGACAGGACAGAACACAGCCAGCTAGCCTAGGCAGCCAGCAGCAGTCTCTTCATCTTGAAGACCTCATGAGGGATTGATTCCTGGGACGCAGCTGCCCCAGCAGAGCAGGGCTACAGTGTTGGTGCCGGCTTCTTTTTGCTTCACTTGGTAAGTCCACAAGAAGTTCTTAAATACTGTCCAGAGAGGCAGAGGGGTTTTCAGCTCCCACTTCTACCGACCTCTTCCGCCCCCCCTTGAGGCACCTCGCCTTGGTGGGCCAGAGTTCATGTTACTCCCTCTACCCCAGTTGCTGCCACTCCGGCCACCTCGAGAAGAGGTTCCACTGCCTGGAGGGCCCCCAAAAGGTTCATCTCTGTGGTACCCATCATGGTGGTCTCCATCCAAGGAGCTGGAACGCCCAGATTTTGGCACTCTCTGGGAAGGTCCTGGGCCCCCTCGACCTGAAACAAAACATTGACCACACGTGACTCTTCCTGTTAGACTGCTGCTCCATTCCTAATATAAACTTTTGCTCTGTGATGACAATGGAGCACTCCTGGGAGGGTCTAAGGAGGTGGACAATGGGCATTCAGAGCACTAAAGGGTGTGCCTCCACCCTCTTCCTGACCATACCCAATTCCTGTCCTGGCTTGTGGCAATGGTTCTCAGCATTGACTAGGCCACACACCCCAGGGCTGTGTGACAAAAGATAGGAGGCCAAGAGAAAAGCATGAAGAACCCCTAGGAAACCATCACACAAAAACTCTGGGAAATAGGTTTGTGCTGTCCTGTGCCACCAGGGTACTTTAATGGACTATTTCAAAAGCACTGCTGTAACTGTGTTAGCAACTGAGATAATGCCTTGCTGCTGCCCTTAGTGACAAGGGTTCTCCACCTGGGATCAGTGTTTACTGGGACTGTCCCATGACATGTGGCACTGTGGCTTCCTTTTACATAGTTTTAGCGAAATGAAATATTTCTTGAAAATGTTTTTTCTAAGGCTAGCATGCAGCTCAATGGGACAGCACTTGTCTAGTATGCACAAGACCCTGGGTTTGATCCCCAGCACTGCAAAGTAAATAAATACAAATAATAAAACTTTTTCTCAGGAAATAAGATTTGGTTACATGTCTCATATTGTGCTCTCAGGACATGGCAGTTGAAGAGGTTAGAGGAGCTAACAAAGGAGCATAGACTGACCCAGCTAGGAGTGGGGAGAAGTGCCTGAGCAGAGAAGTTGCCAGCTCGCACTTTGGTCCTCATGCTAGCCATACATATGTCCTTGACCAGGAGACCTACAAGGCATCCTGAGTACCCAAGAAGTCAACCAAAAGATCACAATATACTGACGCAGCAAAATGTATTGGGTGGGGGATATCTACTGGTAATACCTGAGTAATTTCTGGAAGGACTGCAAACACAAGACAAATGAACTTGGGGAGTGAAGCACAAGTTGGAACACACATAGTTATCTTTCTAGCAGCTCCAAAATACACCACGTAGGCCACCGCCCAGCCTAACGTGAGGCCCTACTTGTAGCCAACATTCAGCAGCTGCTACCCCTGGATGAAAGTGCCACCTTTAATAAAATAAAAATCCGCCAGGAAGGTGGAGGGGGGGGCCACTGGTGGCTCATGCCTGTAATCCTTGCTACTCAGGAGGCAGAGATCGGGAGTATCACAGCTGGAAGCCAGCCTGGGCAAATTATTCACAAAACCCTATCTTGGAAAAGCCCTTCACAAAAAAGGGCTGGTGGAGTGCCTCAAGGTGTAGAACCTGTACTTCAATAAATAACCAAAAATTCTGAGGCATGATCTGCCTCAAAATCATAGACATGATCTGCTGCCTCACTAGAAACACCCCCTGAATATCATGCTCCTTAAAGTCTTGTGACATTGGTCACAAGCAACATTCCTCCTGGGCCCAGGCTGATAAAAGCACAAAACCTGGGAAAGGACAACTCTTCCTACCCTAAGAAACTCACAAGGGTTCCAAGTAGCCATATGTGAGAAGGCATGACTACCAGAGTAGGAGTCTCTATAAAGCAAGCCTGACAGCATGCTGGGGCTGGAGGCAAAGAGCTGGGTTGGAAACTGCCAACAGACTAGGGATTCCCAGAAGCAACTGTGCAGAGACTGCTTGCAGCTAGCAGGTGCTAACTCCATTCAGCTGTGGTGTGGACCCAAACAAACTGCATTTGCACCCCATTTGAGAGCAAGAGACTCTGCTCAGCCTAGGCAACAGAGGGCAGGATAGCAAACAGGCCCCACGTATAGATGAGGCTTTGGGCCACTCCTACAGCTCCTGGAACTGCTGATCGCCCCCTACCTTTGCTTCCTCGGTCCTCAGAAGGGCCCCCTGGAGCCTCCATCTCTCTGTGCTCAGAAGTGCCTGGCCCATCATGCCAGGGGCGTTTTCGGGGTGGCAGGGAGGCCATATCCATGCCTTGGAGAGAAGAGGAACGTTCTCTGCTGGCTGGAGAATGACCGTCGTGAGGGGGATGATCAGGACGGGGAGTGTCACGGAAGTGTTCATGACCTGGTCCTAAAATAAGAACCATGGGTGCTGAAGTTGAGCACCTTATAATGTCATTTACAGTAAAGTAAAATAAAATGTCATTACCAAAAGCAGATGGAAATGACACCATCCCGAGAACACAGAGCAACTTGAGAACCAATTATTCATACAGGAAACATCAGCTTAATAGGTTAGGTGTAAGTCACACCACGAATGCACTACCTAACAGTGAGAGGAGGCAGATGTAGTCCAAATGTGACTAGTCTCAAGCTGTCATTATGCTCTTAAAAACTGAAGATCCTGAAGAGAGTCCACTGAACAAAATTATATCTCCTAATATTTACAATATTAGCAATTAAGACCAAGAAAATTTTAACTCATTTAACTTTATTTTCCCAAACCAAGACAATTTAGTGAAAAAAGTGGCATTGTTTTGTATCTAGATGAATCCCTTCACCACATGACATAAGAGGAAAAGCTAGATTCTCCCACCTGCTTCTGTATTCCATCTCCAAGGTAACACACTGGGGTGGAGGAACAGGAACACAACTGGCTGTGGAGATGCAAGTTGAAAAAGACAGGACCTGGAGGCCCCTGAAAAGGTCCTGGGGCCCTGCTGCTGGTCTAGTCACCACAAGCAACGCAGCAAGCAATTTTCCTTACCTGGCTCTCGGTTTCCATCC